TGTCCTGATAAATGACGCGAGCAGAATCCCTAGATATTTTCATGTAGACCATGCAGAAATTCCACTAACTTCTGGCATGTCATGGTGGGTGAAACCCTTAATGCGATTACTGTTAACGTTAAGAAATATTATCATTGTGAACAAAAGTCTGCTTATTCAGGCATTAAAGCAGGGTATTTTGCATCCACCTCGTAATGTTTACCCAAGTCCCACTGTCTCTTCACCAGGTAGGGAAGAATCGGGACAAAAAAGGCCTAGGAAAGATAGTAAAACCAGAAGGTTAACCGAACAAAAAAGCACACATTTTTCTAGATTTGTTTTGTTAAATATTTTTTATATAATAAAGCTAGTTCTGGTAGCCCAATTTCGCATACATAATCGTGTTTACTTTTGCATGTGTATTTCGTGAATTTATTTTATTGTATTGATATCGATGTATGTTAACTTGTATATGATCAAAGATTTTTCTTGGCATTGGCGTGAAGAATCTTCACGCTCATATGATTTTTAATCTGCTAATGTTTTTTTCTGTATCGGTATGATTATTTGAATGTATACATATATTATATTAAAAAATGGCAAATACTCAATCCAAAACCGATTTATTAGAACAGATTTCCAAACTTGTAGCTGAAAATACTGAACTTAAAAAGGAGAAGGCTGAATTCTTAGCTAAAGAAGCAGGATTTATAGCTAGAATAATGGAATTAGAACAAAATGCTGAAAAATCGAGATTAAGAGATACTGAACTCAATGCCAGAATCATAGAATTAGAACGGTTAGCAAAAGAAAATGAAAAGCGATTTGCAACATTGGAGCAGAATCAAAATGATGCAGTAGATAAATTAAAAAATAGCGATAATTTTCCATTTTCTAATGGAAATAATATATCCGACCCTGTTATAGACCATTGCATTGATACTAACTTCAAATCGTTAGAGGAATTAGAGACCTCCACATCTCCTACTCCTGCGAAAACTATATCATTGGAAGAGAAAGAAGAAAATGAATTTCTGGATTCAATATATAAGGAACAGGTTAGTAACGAGATAAAAGATAGAATCAGAGAAAAAAAGCTTCAGTGCGAATCGGCTGGAAAACAAGTCCAAGACTTATCGCAATTTCATAAAATTACATCCAGAGATATGGGGTCACGACCCCAAGTTAATCATAATACAAAAACTATTCCCTCAGGGAACGATCAAAGTCATGTGATTTTAACAGAGTCGCCTTCGTTGCAAACTAAAGTGTCTGAATTAGAACAGGACGATGAAATTGATAAAAACCAAATCGTTGAACAAGGTTTAATACAAGAATTGCATTTACCTACTAAAGAAAATGACAGCTCTATCAAAATTGGTAACTCTGATGACAAATCAGGGAATATGTCTTTAGAGGAATCGAATATTGTTTCCTTTGGAAATTCTGCCCAACATTTGTCTCATTTATTTAAAACAGCAATTAAGTCAAGACAACAGGAAATCTTAAACTGGTATTATTATTCTCTTGAATTCGAAAATAAGGTTCATGATATTATAGCCGATGGTAAAATAAAAGATAAAATGGCCAGAACAATGATTTACAAAGAAATAAAACCTTTTCTTCCTAGTATCACACAAGATAACTTACACAAAAAAGCTCTGAGAGCTAGAAAGCTTTTTATGTTATTCGGAAAAGATGGAATTGGAATAGATAAAATTAAGCAAGTTACTTATAGCGCAAATGAGATTTCAAAACTGACTAATGTCCAGATCTAAAATATTATAAATCAAGTGACTTTTAAAACCGTTCCCTCAGGGAACGATCAGACTAATGCAGAGGTGAGTGCTTCATCTAACTCAGCTCATAACCGTGCTTATTTTCGTAATAAAATATTAGGTCGATATCCTGATATACATAGAGAATTTAGTAGTAAAAAATTTGATTATTATGGAATTATTAACAAGTCATTATGTCCAGCATGCAAGTCGAGTCATAGAGATGAGAAAAGTATAAAAGGTAGATATGAAGCTGGATCTTATTTTATTAAATATAGACAACAAGAAATTGAAATAACTACGTAAGTAAATAATTACATAAATCTGGTTAAGTGGATAGTGATATTTTTTTCTCTGCAGAGCAGGACACTCTGTGTCTGGCAGTTATGAGATTTTGAATTAAGTTGTATTAATATAAAACGATAACATGTCTTCTGATACTACCTCCAGCAAGATATTAACTGATGACTATTGCAAATAGCATGCTAATTTAGTTGATTTACCAAGTTTTCAGACAGAAAAAATTCATTCTAGATTATATAGAGTATACACGGAAGAGACTGGACTGGATCCTTGGATAAAGTCTGAAACTTCTGAATTCCCACAAAGCGAAAATGCTGATAATCGTATCATAGAAGACAGCTCGTTGGAAACTCAGGTAATGGCATCAAACAAAAATCACCTTTATCAGTATGCCATCGAACATGGAATAAATCCCAAAGAATTTTCGATTATTACAGGGGCTAAGAAAAATAGGTGGACCACGGGATGTTTTCATAAGGATTTGGAAAGAGATATACGTTTTTATCGTGGTGGAATAAAAAGAAAAGAAGACCCTAGAAAATATTGTAAATTTTTAACAGATTGAAATAGGCTAGTCGGTGAAGAGTTATTACGTCGCAGTATACTAAAAAGTGGTTTGAGTATTGCATGGCTCGATGATCTTATAGAAGAATGGGAAAAAATCCATGCTCAATTCACACAAATATCTTTTGAGAAAAGACTTTATTTGTACCGCGAGTAAATGTTCAGTCTACACCATCAAAATCTCTATCACCAATTTCTGTTCTACCTAAAAACCCAGAAGAAAGGCAACAACACGTTATTGAAATGGTATTAGAATGATTTCCTTATTTAACTTTGAAACATAGTTTTAAATATAGTAATTATTTTAATTTTAATAGATCTGTACTCTGTTCTATATGCAACAATGATTATAAAAAAGAGAATATAAGAAATTTTATAGAGGGTGAGTGGGGAAGTAGCGAATATTGTGGTGAAAAAACTTATTGTCTCTATTGTTATAAAAATAAATATCAAAATTCAATCCAAATAGTAACCATAAAAGCATAGGTTAATAATAAAACTCTTTTATTTCCACTAATTAATAATCATAAATTGCATTGCAGGCCCAAAGGGGCGACTCTAAAGGGTCAAAATCACATAAAAATAAAAGATAATTAGGAGCCCAGCGGACCCCTTCTTTATTTAATATTTTTTTTGCCGGAACGACAACAAACGAATAAAAAAAATATATAATAAAAAAAACAAATAAAAAAATATATATCGCTATTATATAAAGCGAATAAAAAAATATATTTTTACTGCTTTGGATTTATAATGAATACTGCGTTATCAAGATCTTCAGGTTTTTTAAAAATTTTAGATAATTTCTCTTCTGATTTAATATCTCATATGTAAGCAATTCTTTTGACCGGAATTTTAAAACATGCTTCAATCTTTGCTTTAAAATCTTCGAATGTATGACCCCACTTAATTATATCAGGATATTTACAGGATGAAAATTCAAGCACAGTATTAAATTCATCAGGAAGTGTGGCTATTTTTTCTGAATATAAAATTTTAATGAGTTTCGCTTTCATAGTTTTTGCTATAAATGTCACTATCTCATATAAATCATTACCTTAGAACTAAATTGCGGGTAACTTATGTTAAACTTTTTTTTCAAAAATATATGAGCAAAAAATAACGTTATTGCTAATTTATCTTATAGCAGGAACTTGCTTATTTTATACTGTTTATTCGTTAGATCTTAAAACCTACCAGAAAAAAAAGTACACAATTAGTAAGTAAATAACAGAATAAAGCAGAATAAAGCAACTCTGCTCGGCTATAAGTTCCAAATACTGGGGCTATTTTGTTATTTTTCTGGTAAAATTAACTCTATTAGATTTGACGATCATTTCTGCGAAGTGAAAAAAGTCAATGATCTTGACAATCTAGGAATTCCAAGTCCCCCATGACATATAAATTTGGACAGGCAAAGCCTGGAGTCTATGACCCATAAAACTACTGATAAGGAATGTTATACTTATTACCCTTATAGCCTTTTTAGACACGAAGTGTCCTGCTTCGCAGAGCCTCGCAAGATTGTATAAGTCTAGACATTATTCGCAATATTCATTTGTTATTAATAAAAATTAATTGTGGGAATTAATCCTGCAGGAGAGTGACACAAACCAATTCCTAATTTTATGCAACTTATAATATTATAACACAATAAAAAGATTTTTAAATTATTCTCACTATGTACGTATCTTAAAAGGTCATAAACTACTGTAAGCCACTGTCTCTTGGAAAGAGGATACTCTGCATCTGAAGTACTGTTGATACATGTTTATAATAGTGATAGTTCAAAGGTGTGGTTATACAGACAGTTCGAAGAAGTTAATATAATATCTAGTATGATTTTATAGTAACAAGACTCGAACTCCTTATAGTGGAAGGCTTCGATTGAGGCGTGGAAAGAATTATCCTGAGTAATAAAGATTTTTTTGCCTTGTATTTACAGGTATAGTATTTTCTCAAGTAATTAATTTTTAGTACTAGTCTTCTAATATTATTAATTCGAGCTTTCGCTTTGCTGGAGCATGAGAAGTTCATGGTAATATATGTTAATGGGTAATTCTGGAACCAATCAGAGATTCGACAAGGTAATAACGATTTGGAACTAATAAAATTGCGGGGTTACAAATATTACAGTACAAATAAAACAACGATTTATTAACAAAGGAAAATATTCGCTCTATATATACTTATTGCTAATACATGATTTAATACGAAATATACTACTAACACCTATCTATTTTATTTGATAGCAATTTATCATTATTATCATTCTAATTCTCCTAATAATTTGGTTAGTAATTATATCGATATATTTTACCGAATTAATTATGAATTTTATGAATTCGTGTTATGTCGAATTTAACAGCCGTGAATTTAACTTTCCTCATTTATAGATTCCAGTGGCCCTCCTATATCAGGCATACTTAAATCGCTGTCATTTTGTGATGCAGATAAATTAAGGGCTGAGGTAATATTTATTAACTCAGATGAAGATGAGTATGTCACATTACTTAAATTTCCACTTGCATCATTTGTGTTATTACCCGAATCTCCACACACATCATTTACATTAGCTAAGCTATGTCCAACAGCACTATTTACATTATCTCAATTACTATTCTCATCTCTTCTACTAGGAACTCTCCGGATAGGTGATGCAGATCGATTTCTTTGATTGGTGGTGGATTCACGGCGACTAGTACTTATAATTAATGGCACTTTGTAAGTTGGTGGTGGGGTACGGTTACGGTGACGTCTTCTGGTGGATGTGTTTGCATTATGTAATATGTCGAATAGAGTTTCTATATTCTCATATACAAGCCAATTTTCACGAGTTATCTATATATTTACTACTACAGTGATAGATTGTATCATAGGTGAACTTACCAGGTCTCACCCAAAAATGAGAATTAAATTCTTCAAAATATCATTCACCTGCTTTGCTCCTCTTTCCGGTTTTGCTCCCAGCTATATATAAACACATCGACTAAAAAAGTTTCAGTGAGGCAACACAGCCAATATAAAAGTACATTTGAAATACTATCATATAGAATGTCATAGTTAAAATAGTATATAGAGTTTAACGCCTATGTTGTAATCTCTAACAAGATTCTAAAATCTATTATTACATTGGTGTCCTGTATAGGTGGTCCCAAATCATTCATTGATTGTGTTTGCTATACTATTCCAAAAGTCTACCCTACTACTACCGGAAATGTTATAATAATCTGCATTTCGATTTTTTCTTTCATCAATCAATAAGCGTAATTGATCATCAGTCCACATCACAAAAATTTAATTTTGATGGATACCCAACTAAGATACACTCACGATATGATATTTCTATATGTTTTTATAAGAAAAAAAAAATCATCATACCTTTAATGAACCTTCATCGTACCTTTATCGTACCTTCATTGCGCTTATTGTATCTTAATTATGAGTTAATATAATAACGACATAGTCTATAAATATGGATCTAGATATAGTGTATCTATGCATATCTCGGATTTGCTTATCTCGGATCGGGTGATCTCAAATGAAAATAATGATTATTAACCCGATTTAACATTATATCCGAAATGTGTATTCTTTATTGTAAAGATTAAATCATATGATAAAAAGCAGACCTATGGATTATACTTTTACACTTCAGTAAAAAAAAATAATGCTAGATGTTTAATTAATATTTGTTGTGATAGTTATAATGTATAAAATAACGGTTATTCTAAATTTGTAGATCCGGCTTAAATACACGTATAGCAATAATATGTAAAATTTTTACAGTACCTAAATATATCTTTCAACAAGTTATTAATAATCTAATCCGAATATAGAAAATATGCGATTGTTGATTGATTTGTCATGTGCAATAATTGTTTGTTAGTAATTATTCAACAGTGTCCTATGGCCTGGATGTACAA